GAGGGAGGGAGGAGAGGATGGATGGGAGGGAGGGAGGGAGGGATGGGGCTGGAGAATCTCTTACCTCATCTGGATTTAGCAGCTCATATTTCCTTATTGTCTTTTCATAGATCACATTATTCCCTCCTCTCAGGAGTGGAGACAGAGGCTCCTGTAAGTAACAAAACAATCCCCTATTTATACACAGACTCTCGCAGACTGCAAAGCGTCCGACTTTACAAAATGAGGTTGGCTGAAGCCCAGAATGGCAAGACAAGGAGGGGCTAAATCTCAGATGACTGTCTGTTCCTACTGGACCCCCACACACTTCAACCCTCCCAGGGGATCTGGTGGATAAACAGTCAGAAGGAGATAAAGAGCAAGGGGTATCACTTTTCTTCAACCTAAAAGCCACATTCCCCCCCCAAAAAAACCCCAGCCAGGGTCAGGTCAAGAATGTAGTTAAGTAAATGTTAGGATTAACCCCCCCCCCAACCATCCATCTTCAAACTCCCCTCTCCCCAGTGTTTAAATTGTTTGTCTCCAGTTTACTCTCCAGGCTTCTTTGGAAAGAAGAATCTAAAGGCCACGTGGAAGACAAAGAGACGGAAATGTCCCATTTGCTGTGGACTTTTGATCCCGTCTTTTATATTCTTCCTGGCTAAATCTCAGCCTATGAAAGGATCCAATAAAGATTCAATAGACTAGTATCCAGGATCCGCCCACAACAAAATAACAGACTAAAAGAGTTGGAAGGGGACCTTGAAGGTCTTCTAGTCCAACCCCCTGGCTCAGGTTCCAGGCAAGCATAAGCTTAGATCTCACTGCTTTTGGGTTGAAGAAACCAACGAGCCTGCAACGTAGTCCCAACACATGAGGACCAGCCAGAATTAAGTCTAGTGGCATAGGGGATCTTCCAAAGGTCTCCTGCTTGTAACAATTTTGGGAGAAATGATCGGATTCAGGATTTTCTAGAAAACCCACAATGCTTTCAGCTGCCATGGCTCAAGAACAATGAATGGGAAGATCAAGTCTTTGAATCAACTTGTTGCACGAGTTTGAAATAATCCTGCTGTTCTTCCAGATGTGTGGATGTGTGTGTGTGTGTGTGTGTGTGTGTGTGCAATTGTAAATTTCTATGTGCAAGTTACTCAAATAACTTTATTACAATAGAGGAAAACACCTGTAGCTCAGGGTTGAGTTGTGGAGTCCATGTTGTTCCCTGAAGATGATTGCTTGCGTGCAGATGTTTTATTACCCAACTACGTAACAACACCAACGCAACAATAATGTTACTAGTTGGAATAATAAAACATCTGCAAGCAACACATGAAGCTCAGAGAGCACCAAGATTCCCACAGTTTTATTTAGAGCCCAAAGGCCAGTGGGGAAAAAAAAGTATACAGGTAGTTCTTGACTTACAACCAGAAGTGCGTCTAACATTTCTGTGGCTAAACGAGACCGTTCTTAAGTGAGTTTTGCCTCTTTTACAACCATCCTTGCCACAGTTGTTAAGTGAATCACTGCAGGCTGACTTAGTCCCATGGCTGTTAAGTGAATCGGGCTTCCCCCCATTGACTTTGCTCGTTAAAATGTCGCAAAAGGGGATCACGTGACCATGGGACATTACAACCGTCACAAATATGAAGCATCTGAATTTTGATTGCGTGACAATAGGGACGCTGTAATGGTCGTAAACGAATGCTCGTAAATCGAGAACTACTTGTATATGCATATAGATCCATTGATACTTTAACATACAGGCACAAATACTTAAATCTACTTCCAACATCCGATGCCCCGATGCCATAGTGACCACACAGTTATTGTAGAAGTTCCTCCAAAATGTAGGTTGTAATCTGGACCCATCTCATAGGTAAAAGGATAATGGATTTCCCCATTCTACGTAAATCTTACATGCTGTTACGGAGCTCCTAGCCTCGTGGCTAGGATTCATGGAGAGAGATAATAAAAATCTGGCACGTAACAGGATATCTGGTAATAAACCACAAGACCCTCCCAGTGGCCAATTAGAACACGGATATAACCATGTAACAATTAAACTACATTTCCCAGAAGGCTGCCCTTAAGGGGGTAGCACTTTAACCCTTAAAATGCTACTTGCTCTACACATAATTTCCTAAGCTCTGACCAGATGGCTACCTACTGGTCCAGCACAACCACAGTAAAACTTTGCTACCTTCTCAGGATTCTCCAAGATAATCCTTCGCACGCTGCCCTGGGAATAAGGAGACAATTTCAACGCTGGAGACGGCACTTCCTGCAAGAAAGTAAATGCATAATTGGCATTGTTTAACAAGGAATATAGTCCCGTATTGTTTTATTAGAGAAGAAAATAAAAACAGGAACAAAGAAAATAGACCACTAGGAAATTACAAAGTACCCTCAGCAGGAGTGGTTAGCCAGACTCCTTGGCTATCTAGCTATTGCTGAATTACATCTCCCAAATCCTTCTCTAGTGATCACGGCTGACTGGGGCTCTTGGGAATTATGGTTCAGTCTTTGTAGACAGAGGTGTCCTGTCAACATTGGACTTCTGATTAGACCAGGGGTAGGCAACCTTGGCTCTTTTAGGACTCGTGGACTTCAACTCCCAGAATTCCTGAGCCAGCATGGGGGAATTATGGCCCCCTCATGACTCGTGGACTTCAACTCCCAGAATTCCTGAGCCNTTCCCCTTTTCATGGGTTACAGGTAAAAGCAGGTGTGGTTTCGGAGTGGCATGGCCATCCTGAACGTTTTTGACCACCCAGTGGACACCCTGGGGTTTAAATAATAACATTCAAGTCAAAATGATACAAATAACAATCTAGATCAAGGGTAGTCAACCTTGGCTCTTTTATGACTCGTGGACTTCAACTCCCAGAATTCCTGAGCCAGCTGGCTCAGGAATTCTGGGAGTTGAAGTCCACGAGTCATAAAAGAGCCAAGGTTGACTACCCCTGATCTAGATCGTTTGAATTCAAATTCAAGTAACTTTATGGTGATTGCTAACCAGCAGGACCAGCTGAAGTGTAGACCCATCTCTTAATCCTCAACTTCTAAAGGTTGGCACAAGTTTCAATAAGTTTGGCATTGAAAATCCTTTAGAACAGTATTTCTCAACCTGGGTAGCTTGAAGAGGTGTGGATTTCCAACTCCTAGAATTCCCCGGCTGGGGAACCGTTTGAGCTGAAGTCCACCCATCTTCTAGTTTCCAAGCTTGAGATACACCATAGAATAGAATGAAGATAGATAGAAGCCTTCCTCCACGATTCCCTACCAAGCAACATTTCTTCCAAGATAAAGTCTACTGTGTGTGATGAACCAGCTCTGAATTTGACTTTGACCTTATTGCTATGTTTTGTTTACACAGTGAGCTTGTTTGCCTACTGGGATTTGTGAGCCAGCTTAGGGACACACAGCTAACAGCGGACTGTGCCATGCGTGAACCCAGCCAACAATGGCTCATTGTGCGGTGGACTCCATGTGTGAACTCAGTCCTATGGCAGACACAACTTTATAGAAAAGAAGTTTTTTTTCATAGGGAAGCTATTTCCAAACCAAGCTCCATAGTCAAATCTGCATTTGGCTTTGTTTCCAAGAATTCTGATTCCTTCCTCTTTCTTTTTACACCTGGTTGGGGGGAAAAAAGAACTTCTGCTTTGTAGGTTATTGTAATACAGGCCATTGGTTTGCAAACCTCTGAGATTTGTCTTGCAAATGAGCACGTGTGAACTGGAAAATGTCCACAAAGGGCCATTTTATTAGGCTGTGCAGTGATCCACATTCAGAAGGGAAGTCAGATTTAGAGATCAAGGTAGATGCATAGTCCCTGCAGAGAACTCTTAAAACCAAACCCATCTTGACCAGGATCACACTGTAGCTGTGAAACACAACTGTACAAACTCCAGGAAATTACCCAGTTGCTCTCGGCTATTCCGGAGAGGAGCTGCAGTGTACCCAACACAATTCCAATCACATTTTGCATTTTGAATATTTAGATTTGTCCATTGCAAAATTGTTCATAGTCTTCCCTTTGGGACTTTCGCATGGATTCCCCTGAAATTCCATCCAGGAAGCTAAGCTTTGATGCCAAAGAATAACAGAACAATGGAGCTGGAACCGATCGCCAGGATCAATCCTCTGCAATATGCAATAAATCATTTTTGAGAGATGAGTGTTCCAGCCTCTTTTTCAAATCTCCAGAAGGTTTATAATCAAGCCAGGTGCAACTTTTTTTTTCCAGCTCTGTAGTGACAGGAACAACCTGGTGGTCAAAGAATCCGTGGCTGGACACCAGTCTCTCCACCTGAACGTTGTTGGTACTGTTTATTTTACTGGCCTATGAAGATCTTCCTTCCCAACTGTGTCCTGCTTCAGAAAGTGCCCCTAAAAAATTCCACCAGGCTAAAAATGAGAATATACCATCAGAGGAAGAAGCGATAAGAAAAATCCTGGACTGTGCTGAGATGGACAAATTAACAAAAGAGATAAAAGAAAAGGAAGACACAGAATACTATTTAATATGGAACAAGTGGTATGACTGGCTGGAGAGTAGAAATAAGAGAGAATAAATGTGGAAAGGTTAAAAGTGGAAAATGTGTGTATAATAATGTATGAAGGAAGAAAAATGCAAATAA